TTTTCAAACACTATTTTTGTAAACATTTTATTAGTAAAAGGATCTTTTTGAAAAGCTTAAATTTGTTGAAATTTCCGGGTCGTTACAAGTGCTTTGCCAGAAAAAATGGAGAACAAAAGAGGGAGTGAGATTCGGCGAGTCAACATTTTTATGAGAGAGAGAGGCCATACGTTTTTTTTATATGAATGTGATGCCAAATTTAGGGTTTTATCTATTCAAATATGAATAAATGGGCTGTAATTAGCTTTTGGGCTAAAATAATAGGCTGTAATTAGCAACAAAATATTATCCAAAATTTGATGATTCCCCGTTTACTCAATTTTCAAAACTAAATTCTAGTTTGAAAATAAAAGGTTGAATTATTTTTTAATTACATACCATGCAAATCAATTTTTTAATATGAGTTTTATGGTTAAAAAAACACCGTGGAGTATAATTAGTTAATATGGTAAGCATAATTAGTTTATATGGCAAGCATTTACGATATCAGTTTTTAATTATTTTTTTTTAATCAGTTTTTAATTAGATTTTTAATCAGTTTTTTATTAATTTTTTTTGTTTTATTTCAATTCTGCAGGAAAAAATGGCTAATATTTCGGATTTTTCTACCGATGAAGTATAATTTCTAATCTTATATTTATATGTGTATATTTATTTGATATATTTATCGTTTTTTAACATTAATTTTTTCTCTTAATTTTTAGGTTTCTAGATCTCTTGAAGATTTGAAGAATTTGGTACAAAATATTACGCGTTCTCAAGGTTATGTTACAGTCACTAAACGATCGAAGACAACTACTTTTGGATTCAAATCTGAAAGTATTTCTTTGTTGTGATCGTAGTGGTATATCCAGAAGTAAAAATGCGGAAACAAAAAAAATTAATTGTCCATTCGAATTGATAGCAAAGTATTTGAAGGCACAAGATGGTTGGAAGTTAAAGGTCGTACGTCATGATCACAATCACGAACCATTAATGTATATGGAGGGTCATTCATTTGCAATGCGATTGTCGGATAAAGAGACTCGTTTGGTCCATGATTTGACAGAGCCGAATGTTAAACCACTAGATATTTTGTCAACAATAAAGCAGCAAAATGAAAATAACGTGTCTTCACTGAAAACTATATACAATTGTCGCCATAATTTTACAATATCTCAACGAGAAGGTAGAAGCCCGATACAAAATTTCATGCACATTTTGCATACTAAAGGGTATAATTATGATTATCGTTTAAACGAGAGCACTAACGAGTTAGAGGAGTAGTTTTTTATGCACCCAACATCGTTACAATGTGGCAAGCATTTCTGTATGTGGTGTTGATGAATGCTACATACAAAACAAACAAGTATAATCTTCTTTTTCTGAAGATTTTTTGAGTCACTTCTACGAGACTGGCGTTTTCCATATCCTTCACATTCATGCATAGTGAAAAAACAAGCAACTACAGGTGGGCATTGACTTGATTGAAATTGACGATTAACGATTCTTTCTGTTCTCGTGTCATTGTCACCGATAAAGATTTGGCGTTGATGAAGGCGTGCAAAGATGTTTTTTCACAAAGTAATCATTTACTTTGTAGGTGACATATATTCAACGATATAACAAAAGCATTGTAGGAAACGCATCAAATCAGATAAGACTTGGGGTTCTCTTCATCAAATGTGGAAGAAATTAGTCGAATCTTCGACACCGAGTGCATACATGCAAGTGTATGCAGACCTTCAATCGTTATTGTCCAAAGATCCAGGTATCATTAATATATATATATATATATATATATATATATCTTAAACTCTTAATTTCTTTAATAATTATTATTCATTCAATCATACTAATTTGATTTTTCTTCACATTTTAGTTGTTTTTGGGTATTTTTTACAATACTTGGTTGGAGAAGTATCCCGACAAATTTGTATAATTGTGGACCGACAAAAGTACCAATTTTGGAAATTTAACAACAAATAAATTTGAGAGCTAGCGCTAAGCTAAAAAACACCTATCATCTCGAAAACGTGATTTGGATAAATTCATATATGTTATTGAAACAGTTGTACAATCACAAGACACAACTATCATAGAGAGTTTCACAAGGAGCATAATCATTTGTAAACCAAAGTTTAAGGATGAGATATTCAATTCACTACGACATCATGTTTCAGAGCATGCTTTGGATAAAATCGTAGAAGAGCTTCATTGGTTAAAAGGATTTGTACCAACTCCTGACAATTGTGGCTGTCAAGTACGGGCATGTTTTGGTTTACCATGCGCTCACAAAGTTGCGATGTATGTCGATGCAGGTATGTCAAATGTATTGTATTAAATTGACAAGTTTTATATGTATAATCACTTTATAACATTTTGACTTTTTTACTATAGGTTCACCTATTCCGTTGGATTCAATTGGTATTTTTTGGAGAACGCTTGATTTTAAGTTTTGTGTATTTGTGGATTATGGAAATCTTAATGTTGATGATCATATGCAAAGGTGGAAGGAAAAATTCAACAATCAACCAGATCATGTCAAATACAGTTATATAAGAAAGATGGAAGAGATAATCGATCCTTCAAAAATTATGATCAATGAACCTTCGGTTAAGAAAAATAACCGTGGACGCCCAAAAGTGAAGCGTGGTCACCATCAAAGTCAAGCTCCTCACCGATACAGTTGTTAAGACTTGAATCAGTAACCACCTAGGTATAATTCATCATTCTTCGACTTGAACGATGAACCGACTAGGCATAGTTCATCATTCTTCGACTTGAACGATGAACCGACTAGGCATAATGCATCATTCTTCGACTTGAACGATGAACCGACTAGGCATAATTCATCATTCTTTGACTTGAACGATGAACCAGCTAGACATAGTTCATTCTTCATGGGCATGAAAGAGGAACTAATAGGCCAATGTTCGTACCAGTTTGAGTTGAATGAGGAACCAACATGCCAATGGTCGTACCAGTTTGACTTGAAAGAGGAAGCACCGATGAAACATAGTTCATTGTTGAAGGAAATTCCATCAATATTTCATCCATACATCACGCGTATACAAAATGTAATGGGTGATGGAAATTGTGGTTTTCGATCGGTAGTCGTTTGTCTCGGGTATGATGAAAATGAGTGGCTTTTCATTCGCCAACAATTGTATGACGAGTTATTGAATTCATAGGAAGACTATTCTAGAGTTTTCATTGGATGCGATGGAGCACTTGATTCATTGTCTTTCTTCATGACGGATAGGACAACACCACCAGAACACTATATGCTTATGCCTGAGAAAGGTATCCAGATAGCCAACAGGTTTGGTGTGATTGTCCAATTTTTGACCACAGTGGGCCCTGTAACATTTTCCCTTTATGGAGGGGTCATAGTGAGTTTCAAAATCATCGTGTCCTTACATTTGCACTTGTATACACAAATCACTATGTGATAGTAAAGTTAGAAGGAGAGTACCCGATGCATCCTATTTCAACATTATGGATCCGCCACAAAGACCCGTCCGCAGCCGAATGACAAACTATGTATAAGTCGCGTCTAGAATTTTATAAGCGACTCAGACCTACAGAAAGATCTTTTATGACTATAGATGATTAGTTGTTGTTTATTTTTGTCTCGAATTTTTGTTATGTAATATTTAAAAAAAATGATGAAGATTTGTTCGAATTTTATTTTTTTATAATATTATTTATAATATCAATGATATTAGGTTGTTGAAATTTTGTTTATATTTTATTTTTTTATAATATTATTTATGTTATTATATTATAAAAACTATATTATTGTTGTTTTTTTATCTTAATAAAAAAATAAATATAAAATTATTAATATTAATTAAGTTGGTAAAAAATGTAATTATTAAATAATAACAATTTATTGATTAGGTAATAATGAACTATTAATAAAAGTTGGTCAAATAATAATTATATTGTGATGATGATTTAAAAAGTAAAGTCAATAATATTTAATGAAAAATTAAATATCATTTTATCTTTTGTTCCTACAAATCATTCTATCTAATTAAATAGTGACATGTGTAACATTTAATGTTCATTTAATGATATTTTAATATAATAATATGACACATTTAATCATTTAATTGGGTAGAAAGATTTGTAGGAATAAAAGTAGAAGAATATTTAATTTTTCATAATTATATGATAATAATTTATCATCATCCACCTAAAAAGTAAAGATAATATATAGGTTCCACTAGGGGTGAGCGCGGTGCGGTTCGATGCGGTTATTAGCCAAAACCTCACCACTAACCGCAAATGCGGTTAATTCATTTTCAAAACCGCTTGGTGCAGTTAATTTTGCGGTGTGGTTAGACGGTTTTTTTTGCGGTGCGGTTTTGTTTTTTTTGTGTTGCGGTTATTAACCGCATGGATTTGGTGCGGTTATTTTGTGTGGTTTTTAACCAAAGTTTAGAGCTCAAACGGTTTTAAGAGTTCAAACATATTACTTGTAATAATAAAAAACCATAAGGTATAAGACAATTAACTTAAACCACAAATAACTAATATTTTAAAAACGTCAAATCAATAGTAATTAACAATAAATATCTTAAAATTGTCTAATTTCACAATTTTTCAAAGTTAAACATAACAAAACCAACACTTTTGTCTTCTAATATTTTATCCATCTTTCATCCATAAAACTTGTCTTATTTTTAATATTTAATATATTAATAATTAATAAAAAAATTGTATATAATATATGCGGTGCGGTGCGGTTTTTTTGCGGTTTTTGAAAACTAATAACCGCACCGCACCGCAAGTTTGTGGTGTTTGGAAAACAGAAAATCTCACCATCGATTTTTATTGCGGTTACGGTTTATACGGTTAATTTTAATTGCGGTGCGATTTTTGTTCGCCCTAGGTTCCACCTAAAAAGTAAAACTAATATATAAGATGGTGTGGTAGATTGGTGTGAATATATAGGTTGGTGTGTGTTTTTGACCCAAATAGCAACACCCATTTAATACGCAGGTTACCCGTTAAAGGGTTTTAGCCACAAATTAGTCCCATAACAACAGCAGCATTCCTTCTCTGAAATTCTGGACAGGTGTTCTTTGTATCGGTGTTTGGTAACGCAAGCAAGTATGTCGAGTCGAGAAGGCTCGCCGGAGCTTCAGTGCGTCGGTGAACTAGAAATCGTGAAGGCAAAACCACCGGTTGGTTTTCTCTGCGGCTCTATCCCTGTTTCTACTGATAGATCTTTCACCGCTTTCGATTCTGCTCTCGTTCCTTCTGCCCCAGCGTAAGAAATCTGATCAGTCCTTATTGAAACCCTATTTTTTGCACATGATCAATTATAGTTGTAACGACCATTGCCAATTGTTTTCAGGGAGGGAGCGCCACGGTATCGGGTGATTCCGACCGAGACTAATCTCAAAACTTTGCCGTTTCGGCCAAATATTCCAGAAAAGGTTCTCCCGATGGTTGCCGCTCATTCTAGGACCGGTGGAGGTATAGTTTTACTTGGCTTATATGTTCAAACCTATTGATAACATTCGATACTGTTAGGATTACGATCAGCAAATAGCTTCCTACATTGAGTTCGTCAATTTAGGGTGGTTATTGGCCTGCTTCGCTACTTTGAGCACTGGAATGTGACACACAACCAATTTGAGATATTTTTAGATGCAGCTTAGGACTAGTTTTTTTGTAAAGTTTATGAGTTCAACGTGTGATCCGATCATAACTGAAGTGTCTGGACATGAATATTAATACAGTAAAACTCATGCCTCAATTCAATTCTAAATGATGCAATTCGTTAATACAAAAAGAAGGTTCAAGTGGTTGTATGAAATTGCCTACCACATTCTTGTTCTCTCATCTTTATGTGTAGGTTATTTTGAATTAGCAATGTAAGACTTTGATCTAATATGCATATGAGTGTATGGCACATCATATAGAGGGATGATCTCTTAACTTTTCTTGCTGTGGTTGTTATTAGATTTGCCTTATGAAAGTGGCACCATTGCATCAAACCTTAGAAGGAAAGGAGAAGCCCTTGCTGTATCTGGTTTAACAGAGTACGAAGATGAAATCGATGTTATTGCTCCAGCTGACATTCTCAAGCAAATATTTAAAATCCCTTATTCCAGGGCTCGACTCTCGATTGCAGTACATCGTATTGGACAGTCTCTTGTATTAAATACAGGGTAATGGAATCACAAATTTCAGTTCCATCGAATTTCACCACAATCCGCTTATTAGTAACACTTTTTTAATAACTTCTTGTACTGCAGGCCTGATGTTGAAGAGGGAGAAAAACTGGTTAGAAGACATAAGCAGTCACAATGTGCAGAAAAGTCTTTATTTTGGAATTTTGCTATGCATTCAGTCCGGATGGAAGCATGTGATTGTCCTGCAACTCAAAATCCCGAGCCAGAGGAGCGGCTGAATTCATCATTCCTGCCTGGAAATAGAACTTCTGAGTATCCTCAAGGGAAACAAGATAGTTTTTTATGGGGAGGGAAGAAGAATCAAAGAAACAAAGATAATGATGCTGTTAAAAAGGTAACACAAGTCAAAGAAAAGTCAAGATCCTCAATGCAAGAGTCAGATATGTATAGAAGAGTGAATCGTGATGGATTCTTGAGGGTTCTTTTTTGGAAATTCAATAATTTGCGCATGTTTTTGGGGAGTGACTTGCTTATATTCAGTAATGAGAAATACGTTGCAGTGAGTTTGCACTTGTGGGATGTATCTAGACAGGTTACTCCATTGACATGGCTTGAAGCTTGGCTTGATAATGTGATGGCAAGTGTACCTGAGTTAGCCATCTGTTACCATCAAAATGGTGTTGTTCAGGGATACGAGCTGTTGAAAACGGATGATATTTTTCTTTCCAAGGGTGTATCTGAAGATGGGACTCCTGCTTTTCATCCTCATATTGTCAGACAAAATGGACATTCGGTTTTGCGGTTCCTTCAAGAAAATTGCAAGCAAGATCCTGGAGCTTATTGGGTATTTCTTGGCTCTAGTTTATCACATATTAGCTTCTTATTATGGTAATTTGCTAGTATTTTGATTGTTTTTTTGGTTATGTACAGCTGTACAAAAATGCTGGCGAGGATAACATTCAACTTTTTGATCTTTCTGTTATTCCCAAGAGTCATGCCACCAACAACTGTGATGATGACCCTACCTTTATACCTTCTTTAATTAATAGAGGGAGAAGTGATTCTTTACTCTCACTAGGGGCGCTTCTCTATCGTGTTGCTCACAGGCTTTCACTTTCTGTGGTGGGGTTTCTATTCCATCTCTCTCTCTCTCTCTCTCTCTCTCTATATATATATATATATATATATATATATATATATATATATATATATATATATATATATATATACAATAGTAAATAGAGGATTTACTTATTTCTAATACATTTTTTCTTCTGCAGTCTCCTCATAACAGGGCAAGGTGTGCAAGGTTCTTGAAGAAATGTCTTGATTTCCTTGATCAGCCAGATCAACTGGTAGGTAACACTTTTGTTTGATAAGTGTATCATCTTAAGGGGCGTTTGGTTAGTCTATTCCATGGGATTTGTCCGGAATTGGAATTCAGTTCCATTCCAATCCCACGTTTGGTTGCAAATGGGTACAGAAATGGATCTTGTCAGATGTCACAAAATCCTTTGTCATGGATTCCAACATTACATCCTAAAATCCATCAGTTTTGTTTAAAATACTCGAATATTCTCTACCCTAGAATTTTACGACTAAAGCATCTCGCCTTTCATCTGCTTTTACCTTTTTGCTTAATAATTCTACTCCATTTCCTGCCAATCAGACGCGTGACAGAATTCAATTCCTTCCAGAACATTTCACAAACCAAACTCCCCTGTGATATATGCGTAGTTAGTAATCTTCATATCCAATATCAATCAAACTAATTATTACTGCATTATAATCAACAGGTTGTACGCGCATTTGCTCATGAACAATTTGCAAGACTACTTTTGGATTACGATGAAGATCTGGATTTGACATCAGAAGTTATTGTAGTTGATGCCGAAGAAGAGTCTGATGAATGCTTCACTGGGATATCTGAATTAATAACCCAAGAAAGTTTCAATCCCAACAAAGAGGATGAAAACGTAACAAATGCACCTGAATCCACAAAACTTTTGGAGTCAAACGAGGCCGAATCAGTAGACACCATAATCCAGCCAACTTCTAACTACGAAACTGTTGAGTTATCTCCTACATCTACCCCTGTAATTCAACATAATGTTGATCTAATCTCTTCAAAGCTAGCAGCAATACACCATGTCTCTCAAGCTATCAAGTCTCTAAGATGGAATCGCCAGCTACAAGGCTCAGGAACCCATAACAGACCCGACCACAGTGCACCATTACCAATCGATTTCTCTGTTTGTGCATGTGGTGACACCGATTGCATTGAAGTTTGTGACATTCGAAAATGGCTTCCAACATCAAAACTCGATGATAAATTATGGAAACTTGTTCTTTTACTTGGAGAATCTTATCTTGCTTTAGGAGAAGCCTACATGGAAGACAGTCAACTCCAACAAGCCTTCAAAGTTGTCCGTTTAGCATGCTTAATTTACGGGTCGATGCCTCAGCATCTTGAAGACACAAGATTCATCTCCTCAATGAGTTCATTAGAGATTGATATCCACAATACGGGAAACAAAACCGAATCGATAGTCGCCCATTATCTTTTCTGGGCTAAAGCATGGACACTTGTTGGAGATCTGTATGTTGAATTACATTTAAAGAAACCCAATGAGAAACCACCTGCTCGAGAGTTAAAAGTGTCACCAGAAGTTCAAAAGGAGGTTGAAAGACTCAAGAAGAAACTCGGGAAGTTTAACCAGAGTTGCTCTTCTTGCTCATTGGTTAACTGTAGTTGCCAAAGTGATCGAGCCAGTAGCGGGAGTAGTGCGAGCAGTAGTACTGGAAACACTCGTTCATTTAGAAAACCCTCTGAAAAAACCGGATCCAAGAGCTTATCTTATTCATCTGACGTGGCAAAACCTTCCAAAGAGACTGAATCCGATTCAAAAGAGACAAAAGAGAATAATGGTGGCATTTTCAAATACCTTAACTGTTCTAACCATAAAGATTTAGACCATAATCTAACTACTGCTCTTCATTGTTATAAAGAATCCCGAAAATGTTTAGAGGGGCATTTTAGTAATTCGACCGAGTTACAATCTCTTCTCAAGAAGAAAGGATGGGTATGCAATGAATTAGGCCGAATGAGACTTGAGCGAAAGGAAATTACAAAAGCCGAACAAGCCTTTTCTGAAGCTATCAGTGTATTCAAACAAGTTTCTGATCATAATAACATTATCTTAATCAACTGTAATTTAGGCCATGGAAGAAGAGCAGCAGCTGAAGAGATTGTATCACAGATGGATCATTTAATTTTCAACAATGCTCGCAACCAGAATCTTGAAGCTGCAAAATCACAGTATTGTGAATCACTTAAATTTTATCGAGCAGCAAAGAAAGAAGTCGATAGTGTTGGTGAAGAATCCAGTGTCCTTTCTAGCAATCTTAGCAATGAAGTTTACACACAGTTTGCTCATACATATCTAAGGCTTGGAATGCTTTTAGCGAGAGAAAATACAACAGCTAAAGTTTATAAATCTAAATTGGAATTCGGGAAACATGAGATTTCAGCGAATGATGCGATTACTGAGGCTTTGTCAATGTATGAGTTATTAGGGGATTTAAGGAAACAAGAGGCTGCGTATGCATATTTTCAGCTTGCTTGTTACCATAGGGATTGTTGTTTGAGGTTATTGGAGACTGATTTGAAGAAAAGTAGTGTTTTGAAAGGTGAAAATAGTGTGGTCCAAAGAGTGAAACAGTATTCCTCAATGGCTGAGAGGAATTGGCTCAAGTCTGTGGAGTTTTATGGGCCGAAAACGCATTCTACAATGTTTCTGACCATTTTGATTGAGAGGGCAGCTTTGTTATGTAGCTTGGCTAAGTCATCTAACGCCTATCCGGTATGTTGACACCTGTATTAAGTTCCCTTTTAAGTAAAAAAGAAATAGCATGTGCCATGTGGTAGTTTATTAACTAATTTTGATGTTTTTGCAGATGTTGGAATCAGCTCTGAATACTCTTCTTGAAGGACGCCAGGTGCCTGTAGACAAAATCACATTACAAAAGGACGATTCTAATGTGTACAAAAGATATTGGAGTCAGCTACAGATGACATTAAAGAGCATGCTAGCAGTAGCTCTTCCTACTAACACAAAGAAACCTATTCCAACTTCCCAACAAAGCACCCTGCCATCTGGAGATCTCAATAAACTCAAGGACCTTTACCGGTTATCTTTAAAGGCCACCGAGTTCACTCAGCTGCAAGCCATCCACAAGTTATGGGCATCTTAAGATAAAACCAATCTCATCAGGTATTTTTGCAATTCTATGATTTTATCCATTAGGTATTGTCTACACATTACATTAGCAACACCGAAAGAAAATTGAAAAAAAAAACAGGATGATTTTCTTGAGTTAATCTTGTGTTTTATTACTGTGACTGTCTCCTAAAGCTTCTGCTAAATCAAACTTTAGAGTTCCTCGTGTCGTTCTGCTTCCAATCCCTCCATCCGCCTTTCTCATCATCGCAGCAAATTCTCCATAATCTATCCGTCCGTCCTGTCACGCAAAACCAATGTCAAATTACAACAAAAAAGACGTAAATACCCTTACCCCAATCCCCCAAATCCTAGCATGCTTACATGATCTTGATCAATTTCTTTGATCATTTCTTCCAATGGAACATCTTGTAAACCGAAATCTCTACACGCCTGTTGAAGCTCATCTTGTGTTATATACCCACTGTTGTCCTTATCAAAAAAAGAAAAAGCTGCAAGCAGGTTTTCCTCTCTTTGCATCTTGTTTAAATGCAGTGTTGCTGTTAAAAATTCAGTGTAATCAATTGTCCCACTGTTATCGGTGTCCACCGCATTCATAAGCTCCATGAGTTCAGATTCCATTACATTGTTGCCAATTCCAGCCAACCCTTCTTTCAGTTCTTTAAATGTTATCGTCCCACTATGGTCTGTATCAATCGTTTTAAATAACTGCTTTAACCCACCGATCTCCTCTTCTGAAAGCCTTCCCGCAATCACCTAGAAACATTTATAAAAAAAATATTTAAAGCTAAATGTTGGATTATTTATTAAGAAAGATGAAAAAAAACGTAAACGTACGCGTAAAGCCATCTTTTTGAGTTTGTTCATGGCGGAAAACTGTTTGAGGCGTGATACAACCGTAGAATCTAATGGGTTGTCTGGGGCAACTTGGTCATCCATGATCCATGGGTGATCTGGTTTTCAATTCAAAAGCAGTAATAACACAGTGGAGGGAGAGTGGAGTGGTAATAATTTTAATATGAGAATTTAGAACTCACTCACGTAGGACTTGATGAGCGGTTATTCTTTGCTCCGGGTTTCTATCGAGCATTGTTTTGATTAAATCTTTAGCGGTTTCGGTAATTTGTGGCCATGGTTCCGATTCGAAATCGAGTTGTCCTGTTAAAATCTTTTTAAAGATTCCCGAATCCGTCTCTGAAACCCAAATCACATAAAACATAAAACTAGTATATCATAAAAATCGGTTTCCTGGAAAAATAACTCATTGTAGTTCAATATTTTTCGGTTCGGTGTTAATGTCATTCATGTCCCGTGTAACAACCGCAATTTCAGACTAAAGTCTAACCTGCCCAAAAAGGTGGAACCCCGGATAATAATATGTAAAAAATAACCCCGGCACTCCACACATCGATTTCCGGGCCATAACGTTTATGCAAAACTTCTGGAGCAACATAATATGCACTTCCAACCAGGTCACACAGATACTCTCCTGAAATTTAGAAGATTTTATCAACCAAACGGATTTGAAATCTGTCAAAAAAAAGAAAGAAAGAAAGAAAGAAACCTGGTTTGTAGAAAATGGACAACCCGAAATCAATGGCTTTAAGCTGTGCATTCTCTTCATGACTATCGAACAAAAAATTCTCGGGTTTAAGATCACGGTGTATAACACCAAGAGAACGACAAGCCACCACCACCTCGACAACCGTCTTCATGAATTTAGCCGCCTGTCTTTCACTATACCACCCTTTGTTAACAATCCGATCAAAAAGCTCACCACCTGTACATAACTCCATCACCAAATGAACAAAAACATTGTCTTCGTAAGTGCATTTGATCCTTACAACACATGGGCTTTCAGACAAATGATGCATGATTTGAATCTCCCTCCAGACATCATCATAATCATCTCTGCATAAAAGCTTCCGTTTGGGGATGGATTTGCACGCGTAATCGATCCCGGTGGATTTTTCGGTGCAAAGGTAGGTGGTGCCGAATTGGCCATGACCGAGCTTGTTTCCTATAGTGTAATGGTCTCTCAGGTTTGGGGTTTCGTGTGGGAGGACGTTGGTGCTTGGTTTCTTCATGGATCTTGATGAATTATTTCTCGTTTTCTGAGATTTTATTCTTTTGCAATTGCAATTTGGGGAGATTGTTTGATTGATGGGTGGGATTTGGGAATGTTGGTAAAAGTGTACAAGAAAATGAATTATGATTGGACTATTGGAAAATGAATATTGTTTTTCTATGAAACGACCAAAATAAGCAGTGTTGCATAATTAGAAAGAGAAGTTGGTATATATGAAATAATATTCACAAAAACATTTAAAAAAAATCGTTGATGATTCAAGTTTTATTCACAAAATTACCGTCTTTTTTTTTTTAATGATTTTTAAAAGACAAAGTTTTGCGAAATATTCTTTTGGCCTATGATTTTCAAAAGACATCTACCATTTTACGAGATAGATGCTTATTTGTTATATTTGTTTAAAATATAGTCATTTTGGTTTATTCACTCCTTATTTTGGCTATTTTTATACCAAATCCCGAAATGTGGAATTCCCACAATCACAACTAACCCATACCATACAACCTTACACCCATTGTATAAGATATAAATCGGATACTCAATGTTCTTATAAGATCAAAAAACGCATAAGTTATAGCTGGAAGAAAACCCCCATACCACTATTGCCAAGATTGTTTATTCGAAACCACAAGAATGTTATTCCTTAACCAATTGAATTAAGCCATTCGCCAAAGGGTTATTTTACTCATTTTTGTAACTAATCCGAACAGTACATCCTTGCAATGCTTAAATTCCAAATTAAAAACAATTTTTTAGTAAATTCATTAATTAGTTCAACAAAAAATACCAATCAACTTTAGGCTATCCGCAATATATGTTGCCGAATATGACCAAATTTAGGCTGTCTGCGATATATGTTGCTGGGTATATGACCAATGTTTGGACTCCAGTCGGAGACACACACCCTTCTTTGGCTGAAATCATGCTAACATTAGAGTTTGTATATTAGCCCTAACATTTTCTCCTTGATCTTGTACGAGATCTTTAGCAAGATCAAGCATGAAGTACCATGGTGCATGTTTTTTTGTTGATGATATTGAGTTACTAGCCGAATCTAGTAATCTAGTGTTGAATTGAATGCTTGACTGGAAACATGGAGGCAAACATTAGAGAAAGAGCTATGAATCAACACTGATAATATAAAGTATCTTTGATGTAATTTAAGTGGGGAGATGAATGGAGAAGGAATAGATGTAAGTTTTTCGGAGCTATCTCTTTTTCACGAATGAGAGCTTCAAATATTTGAGGCTATGATTTCTAAAGGAGGGAATGTGGAGGTAAACCTCTCACATCACATAAAAGTTGGTTGGTTAAATTGAAGAGTGACCTTGAGAGTCTTATGTTACATAAATGTATCGTTAAATCTTATGAGTAAATTTTACAGGATAGCTATTAGGTATGCAATGGTGTATGAATCTAAATGTTAGTCATCCAATAAGGACCACGAGAGGAAGATGAAAGTAGCAGAAATGATGATGTTGATGTGGATTTGGATTTACAGTACAACTTTGATTTACAGTGAAACATTCAGGTTGATGGGTAGCTTCGCCCTTTTTATGATTTTGTTTAGGGGGTGGCAATCATGTATGGTTTGGGTTGGCGGGTCAGAATGCATCAATCCGTAACCCAGATAAATATTCGTGTCACGGGTTGGCAGGTTGGAAACATCAACCCGAGCACGAACCGTCTAACCCGTTTAGTTATATGGGTTTGTGGGTCAGATTCGGGTTGGCGGGTTGACCCGTGAACCTATATACCAACCCAAACATGACCCATTTATTTGGCGGTGGGTTGGTGGGTCAAAAATCTCAACTCAAACCCGTTTATTTTTGTGTGAGGTTCATGTTGTGTCGAGAATTGTCACCCCAAATTTTGTTCTCTTATCTTTATTATTTACACCCATTTTTGCGTATATGCTAGTATTGATTATTCATGTATTTTTTTTTACTATTATCTTTGACTTACTCCCATGGTTTTCCCCTTTTGCAGGTTATCGAATTCATACGCTTCTTTATGTTGCATCCATGTATATGTCATATTGCTTCTTCCTGGCTTACTTTCCCTTTGTTTGCCCCATTTATGGTAGGTATCATTTTGCTCATGTCATTATGTCAACCTCCTCCCTTATAATGGGATCCCCAAGGTCTGTGTTGCTTTAGACGAGTTTTCATTGAATGGACTTTTTAAATTGAGAATTCATTTGAAGACATAGTGACCATTTAACTACTCCCTACATCATTTTGGAGTACATTTACATTTCACTTGTGTAGTTGTTGGATGGTGCCTTTACATTTCAAGGATTAAAACTCAAATTTTAGATGTGATTGTCTATGGGTGCTCGCCACTACATCACAAGTTCTAGTCAATCTCACATTGGATTGGAGATAACACATAGCTGATGATGTATGATCAATGTGTTTTACCCATAGTATCATGACCCCGTAAGGATTTTGGTGGCTTGCTCATGACTTTACAAGTCTACGCCTAATGCGCATAACTTACCACACGGGATAAAACAGATCTTGTTTGGTTCCATTGTTTAGTGAGAGAGTGTGAGATTAATACATTAAACTCTAGATGCAGCACCTTATTTTTCTCTTATTTAGTCCATCAATTTAACCCAAATATTTATCGTTTCTCCAATTACCTTGTATTGTAAACATTATCATCACTAGTGGATATTTGAGTGGTCTGCTCCACCTATGTTTTATTATGATTTGGAATTTTTCATATAAATCTCGGTGTGCATGTCTTCATTTTTTTATTGCTTTACTTATTATTGTTAAATCTCATTATATATTTGTGATTGGATGTGTTATTTTCATACCATCAAAGCATTTGGAGATATGGATAGGTTTGCAGCTTTTCACTTTGATGTACTTTTACCTGTCTATGGTAAACTTTGTTCTCATTTTATCGACAAGTGGTATCAAACACACCAATACAACACTCCCTTTTACTACTTCAAGTAGTGAAGATGAGGTGGCTCCCAATTGCAAGAATTTGGTCGCCTCTGCTGCTATGCAATCCCATTATCTCTTTTTATCTGATTTATGATTTAGCTCATCACTTGTTAACCTTAATGACACAATTACTACTTAAACAATCTCCCTATTATTCTGATTTTTATAGTTTAGTAATCTAAATGACACAATTACTAAACTCTCTTTAACATTTTAGAACTACGAGTTTCCCTCAATAAATCAAGTAAGTTTGATATAGTTTCTGAATCATTCTCTGTGTGTCTCTTGTGCAACCACTCTTCCTGTACCCTAATCTTAACATCCCTACAATACAAATAATTTCAAAGCATTAAAAACCACAGTTATTGTAGGACAGTTTTCTATAACGAATATCATCTGGTTGTTTTCCCTTGGGCTAAATGCAAAATATAGCAACAAAGTGACATGTTGTAATCGGGAAGATTTTTCAAAGTGAAATGTTGTAAATGAAATAAATAAAAGTAGAAGACTATATTAAAAAAGTAATAAAAGTAGGTTGCTATTTCTTGCGTTTAACTTTTTCTTATGAAAATGAAATGTTACCTCCTCAAGGAAAGAACCTCATAGTTCCTTCTAAAGTGGCTAGCATACTTTGTGAGGGCATCTTGGACATAGGGCTTCCCAACAGTTCTTACAGCTGCAGCCTTAAGTAGATTTTCTAATGAACCATGTTTCTTTATAAGTTTTAAGGCAGTTTTCATGCCAAAACCAGGCACCAAATGTTGAATTCCAGGAACACCATCTGCTTCATCACCCAAAATGCATCCTGTAAACAAGAAAAAAAAAACAAGAGATTTGTGTAAAAAACGATAGAAATACCCTCTTTAAAATAGTGTAATCAATCTTTCCAATTCCATCTAAATTGGACTACTTGAATTCATGATTCAAATCATCAAATGTAGACACATTTTTTGAGACACGAGAAAGTGTATGCTATTGCTTACTAAGACTTAAATCAGAGAGTGGATCACACTTGTATTGAGCTATGTAGTGATTCAAGGTATAAAATGACCATCTTTTTAAGTCTGGAAGAGGCATAACAAGCTGCACATCTTGACATATCAATTGCTTGAAATCTTTATCAGGAGAAGCAATAGCAACACGGTATCCCATTTCCAAAACTTGTTCAACAAGTGTAGCAACAACATCATCTGCTTCCTGAGCAGGAATCTTCACAACCTGCATATCATTATCATTCATATACTTTTTAATAAAAGGAATTCAAGTAATATTTGTTAAAAGTGATGGAATTATCACAAAGGATTACTGACCGGCACATTACATTTTGTAAGGGTATCTGAAATTAGTTGATATGATCTTCTTATTGGAGCTTTTGCTGATTCCGATACCCATGGTGAAAATTTCCTTCTGTGTGCTTTATATGAAGGTAACATTTGTTTCCTATATTCATGAGCTCCTTCTCCATCAATAACCTGCAAAAAATGAAATATGTGTTACAAAGGTGAAATATGAGTAATACAAGTCTTTGTTAATATTTTTTTATTTATTTGTAATTTAGTACAAAAGGCTACTTGAGACACATTACATAAATTCAACTCCAAGACATTTTGCATACCAAACGCCCCTTATTGGTTATAGAGTACTACCATAAATTCATTATCTAGCATCCACCACAAAAGTTGGCGCTATTTGTAAGGATATGATGAAGTTTCTTAGCATCTATTGTGATAGAAAAGACGATTGTTGAATGGATAAAGTACTACAGCAGCCTAGCGAGATTCCATTAATAATGAAATGAGTTCAATATTCATAAGGGTGCATAAACTATTGCTGAAATCAACTAAAACATATGGATAAAGTACTACAGCAGCTTAGCAATCAACTGAAGATTCCAGTGCACTTCTTCTACTTCTCTGCCAGAAAAAAGAGCTATATTTGATTAGATTGCTTCCAAAAAGTCTTTCAGATACCTTAAAATCCAAAGATTTTGACTTAAATCACTGAGTTATCTAAAACGACCAAACTCTCATTGAGATAAAACAATTGGCATGTTGGGCCTAAAATTTGGCATAGAAACGTAATGGAGAGAGGCGGTGCTTACGGCAATAACAGGGTCTGTAAGGCTGACTTCGGAGAAGAAAAGGGAAATCCATTGAGCAAAAGAGTGTAAACTCGGGGTGCTACCATCATAACAGATTGGGTTCACATCCAAAAAGAACACCCTTTTCTTCTTCTTGATGATGATATTATTAACAGTATCATCATCTCCCTTTACTTCGTTTAGGTCATGCTTTGGTTGCAACAGCAGCCCACCAACTGTTCGACCTTCTGTCCGAGAAGAAGAAGCAATAAGGGCAGCACTAGGTCTGGCTCGGAGCTTCGTGCGCCTGAAAGAGGGAGCTGAGCGAAGAGTAGTCGGATTATGAACACCCATACACATACCCATCGCTATACGAGCTTCTAGGACGACCACCATCATCACATTCACCCTGCTGCACCTGCAAGTGTAACCATCTGGTCAATTGATTTGCCGAGGACTCCTAAAATAAGAAATTGGTTCATCACCGTGTACTCATCTTAAGTGATTTTTAATAAATTTATTTGGGGGTTTACTACTTTTTTTTTACAAACTAAACGATCATTAAATTATTATTATTATTTTTATTTGTAATACTATCATTAAACTTTTACAATATTACTATTATTGTTATTGATAATAAGAGTTTTTTTTAACAGATTGATAATAAGAGGTTTAGTTGGTAATATTGTAAAAAAAGGAATAAGGCACGTGGATGTTACGTAGCAAGGTAAATATCAGTAATAACTTTTTTCTTTAACAAAAAGAATACCATTAAACTTAATTTTTTGCAATTATTACTATTAAATGCAAAAACAATTAATTAAATACCATTAAAAAAATCGGCTTGTAGTTTCATTTGTTTCAAGTTTGTAGGTCTATTATTTGTGTTTAAGTGTTGAGACACGTACATTTAAAATGTATATTATTAGTCCAAAATGAATAACAAAAAAACAGTAAACATTAGTTCATTATAAATAAATAAATAAACAAAAAAACATTAATAATGTTTTTAAAGAGTAAATTGGTTAGAGTTACAATAACCAATCAAAATAATATTTTTTCTAAAACGATAAATATTGATTTAATAATAATTTATATATAAAAAAATAGTTAAATACAAAATATAAATAATAGCATTATTTTTACAAATAAAATACTGAATACATTATGTGTCATCAATTTTTAAACAACAAAGCGTAAATGGTGCGAATTTGGTGATTCGATTAAACCGATAACATTACATACACTTCATCACCAGTCCACCGGTAAGGTGGTCGTTGAGACCTCCGCCCTCTTTCGATACTCTCGAGGAACCATTTCATACATAAAAACCTCCCCTGCATTTGTTGATCCAACTCTCTGCCTTTTCTTAACAATCAATGATGGCTCAACTCCTCAACTCCTCTTTCACTCCCACCACTCGCGGCCTCCGCCGTCAATCCATACCTTCAATCACACAATCCACCTCCCGGAAATCCCAAATTCATGCCAAGATCCGAGAGATCTTCATGCCCGCATTGAGCTCCACCATGACTGAAGGAAAGATCGTCTCATGGGTCAAATCAGAAGGCGACAAGCTCAATAAAGGCGAGTCTGTTGTCGTTGTAGAATCTGATAAAGCCGATATGGATGTCGAGACATTCTACGATGGCTACTTGGCTGCCATCATGGTTGAAGAAGGCGGTATCGCCGCCGTCGGCTCCGCTATCGCCCTCCTTGCCGAAACCGAAGACGAAATCGCCCAAGCTATATCCAAAGCCAAAGAACAATCCTCTTCCTCTTCCTCATCCTCACCTGCTGCTCCTTCACCTCCTCCAGCGGAAACGACAATACCTGATTCTATCGCCGTCGCAACTGTAGTGAAGGCGGCACCGGTGAAGGCCGTGGCTTCGACACACCCGGCTTCCGATGGAGGCAAGAGGATTGTCGCGTCTCCCTATGCGAAAAAGCTTGCGAAGGAATTGAATGTTGATTTGAGTGGCGTGGTTGGTACCGGACCAATGGGCAGGATTGTGGCCAAGGATGTAGAGGCTGCCGTTGTTGCTTCTGTTGCTGTTCCCGTTGCTGCCGCGGCTGAGTCAGCTAAGCCGATTTCTGCAGCTCCAGGGGTCGAATTGGGTTCTGTTGTTCCGTTTACTACAATGCAGGGTGCTGTCAGTAGGAACATGGTTGAGAGTCTTGGAGTTCCTACCTTCAGAGTGGGATATACAATCACAACTGATGCTCTTGACGCTCTCTACAAAAAGGTAACTTTTTGAAGCTTATTAGAACTGTAAATTGCTTTAATCGATTGTTATCTTCAACATTTGATTGCTGTTCATTCTGGTTTATTTTTGAATGAATCTTTGTGCACTTGGAGTTTACATGAACCTGTTGAAAGTGCTAATTGTGGCTCTAATTACTTGTTTTCTTGATGTTTCCAAGTGTTTTACCATCATTATCTACGTGTAAATTTGTAGATCAAACCAAAGGGAGTGACCATGACAGCATTGTTAGCCAAAGCTACAGCGCTTGCATTGGCTAAACACCCTGTTGTGAATTCAAGTTGTAGAGATGGAAAGAGCTTTACATACAACAGCAATATCAACATTGCTGTTGCAGTTGCAATTGATGGTGGATTGATTACTCCCGTGCTTCAGAATGCTGATAAGGTGAACTTTTTTTTCCCCCCCATTAAGTTAGTACTTAATGGGGAAAGGTTTTTTTTTTTTTTTTTTTTTTTTTTTCTGACTTTCTATGTTAAGTTGTTCTTTCTGAATTAAGTCAAAAAGAATACTCATACATAGCTTACTGGATTAAGTCTTGTCCTCATGAAGTCCAGCAAGTTAAAAAAAAGCACCTTAGTTTACTTGATGGATGCTTACTTTTATGTTGTATTGTTTTTTTTTAAAGGTTGATATATATTCATTATCAAGAAAGTGGAAAGAATTAGTGGACAAGGCCAGGGCAAAACAGTTGCAACCTCAAGAGTACAGCACAGGTAAACTTTCTGATAATCAATCATTTGAAACATACATCTGTGTACTCTTATGTCCTCTATGCTTTTATAGAGTCAAATACTCTTACCCTTTCATGTTAAACAACTTCCAGATGCTTTTCTTGTGTTCCCAAGTTTTGTTATAGTATTGTGGGTTAAATATAAGAAATATAGCAGCGTATTTTCAAGTATTTGTCACAAATATTATCCTTTTTATGGTCTCATCAAATCTTGTTTAATCTGTTGCAGGTACATTTACTCTTTCCAACCTTGGAATGTTTGGAGTGGATCGCTTTGATGCCATCTTGCCACCAGGAACTGTGAGTTTCCATATTTAACCTCAAGCTCTATGGGACATTACCATATCATATGTTCTTTTAATCATGTTTTTGTGCAGGGTGCAATCATGGCTGTTGGGGCATCTGAGCCGACTGTTGTGGCCACCAAGGATGGTCGAATCGGCATGAAGAGCCAGATGCAGGTATGTTCACACAGTTACTTTTAGGCTGCATTTGCTGTACATGAGAAGGGCATTTATGTCTTTTGCACATATTGCTTACATGGGTTGGGTTTGCAGGTAAATGTTACAGCGGATCATCGTGTAATATATGGGGCGGATCTTGCACAGTTCTTGCAGACGCTAGCAAAGATCATTGAAGATCCTAAAGATTTAACATTCTAGTGCGTGTGATAGAAAAGACCTTTTCATTTCGTGCTTATTTCTTATTTAAGGTTGATCCTGTTGGGCTATTTGTTTAGACAATCGGAGAAGGTATTCATGAGTCTTGTTAAAATTTTGAAGCATGGCAATGACATTTGTTAGTAAATTTGGGTAATATTATAAGCACAGCACCAAGATGCCAAACTCTTGGTTTACTAGATTTGCAAATAACTTTTTAAACAAATATTACAACATTATTATGTTAACCTTCGCCAACACTTGCCAAATGGCATTCTAAAATCGTTCCTCACATCTATTGTTTAAACAAGTTCTACAAATGTCGCGATTTTAAATAGTTACAACCGGGAGTTCACTGATAAAGAACCTATTAGTAGTATGTTTGAACGTTAGTCATTAGAAAATTGTACATTGTATTTTTTTTTTTTTTAGTAAAGACAATGTCTAATTAGCATCATGCCTTGGTGTAGTTAAACCAAAAGGGTGAGCGGTTTTGAGAAGAATAAGTCACTTTATTTACAAAAAGTGCGGAGATGTGTTGATGACAACAACTCCGTATTTAGTAAGTAATCTAATTACACACCAAGTATAGTTTACACAGATCCAAATAACCCACTTCGTATTAAAAAAAAGGGCTCGTATCATGTTCTATATTGCTTAAAAATACCATACCAAGTATATTGGCCATCGTCTTAGTTTCTTGCATTAAGGAGCATACGTAACACACTCCTCATTTTCGGTCTCTCTTCCGGGGAAACACTGACACAAGCTAAAGCAACCTTAAGGACTGCTAACATCTGGTCTCTAATGGCTGAGGATGTCCTATTCACACTGGAGTCAAGTACTTGGTCAAAGTTATCTTGATTTGACTTGCTTGACACCCACTTCACTAATTCAGACCCTTCACTAACCGCTGCTTTTCCTGTCAACAATTCAAGCAAAATCACACCGAAACTGTAGACATTTCCAGCTGTCGTCAACCTCATTGAGTAAGCATACTCTGAAACCCAAAAACACAATTATAGTTAGGGACTTTTGATCATCTTTCTTACACATGACGTGACATGACTGTATGAATGATAGAAAATATGCATCAAAGATACCTGGTGGGACATAACCGACAGACCCAGCAACAGCAGAAACATTGCCTGTGCTCTTTGAAGGATCAATCACTTTAGAAAGCTCGATATCTCCAATCTGAGGCTCATTTATGGACTTGAGCATAACAGATTTACTTGAAAGATCAAGGAGGATGATTTGACCCGAAGGGCATCCATGGAGAAACGCCAGACCATTAGCGACACCTATAGCTATACTGTACCGATTGCTCCAATCCAAACCACGTCCCAAACTTCCATGAAGAACATCATATAGAGTTCCATTCTCAGTGTAATCATAGAAAAGATAAACACTTTCGGTAGTCAAGGTATAGGCAAGAGGGATCATGACACTGGAATTTCTCAACTTCCCAAGAACTCGAAGCTCTTCTTGCAACCGATCATGGCTCCCAATTTGGAATATTTTGTCAACTCCATTAAGCTTCTTGATGAAATACATCATCCCTGATGGCATCACAGCCTTGTAATATGTAGAGAATCTCGTCTTCAAAACAATATTCGAGGGGTTACTCACAGCCTCCATCGCCTTGGTGAAGTCAAGATTCAATCTTTGAATGGAATTTTCAGTCAAGAAATCGCTTTTGATGACCACGGGCTCAGAGGATTGACTTTCTTCATGGTTTACCTTGTGAATTCTTCTAGAGAGTATAAGGGCCAAAATGGAAACTATCATAAGTGTAACAACAGCAGCTACGGAAGCCACAATGATACCCACTGACACAGACTTTTTTCTTTTCACGACAGAAGAGACGGGTGTCGGATTTATCAAATTATTCCCATCAGTGGACAAGTTAACATTTGAACGAAACGTAGGAATAGTTCCCGTAAGCCGATTATTGGAAAGTTCTATCAGTGTCAAGCTTTGCATATCAGTGAGGAAACTTGGAATCCCACCGGAGAATTTGTTGTTCGAAAGATCCAAGACTTCGAGGGACTGTAATCTGTTGAGAGCCCTGGGTATTCCCCCTTCAAAGTTATTCCAACTAAGATTTAGAGAAATCTGCAACTTTGTAGGCAGTGATCTGACAACACCTCCAAGATTGTTCTTCCCAAGTTGAAGCTCCAGTAAGGAATCCATGGAACTAAAGGAATCAGGAATTCCGCCAGTGAGACTGTTCGCCTGTAAGTCCAGATTAGTTAGCTTCTGTAACTTGGATAACGATGGTGGAATGGAACCATTCAGAGAATTCCAACTGATATTTAGTTTATCCAGAATCTGTAACTCACTGATTTCATCTGGGATCTCTCCGGAGATTCTGTTATGCTGAAGTTGAACAACCTCTAATCTTGTAAGATTACCCAATTCCCGAGGAAGAAAACCAACCAATTGATTATCTGATAAGTCCAACAACGACAAATTCCGAAATAACCTCAACTCAGAAGGAATCACCCCGCCTAAGTTATTATGATCAAGCTCTAAATACGTTAACGATGGCATATCATTCCCGAACGACCATGCTGGTATTTTCCCTATTAAGCTATTGTTACCGAGCCTCAATCTGACCAAAGTTGTCGATATGTTGGAAGGTATCGATCCAATTAACTTATTAGCAGACAAGTCGACAGTCTGCAAATCCTTTTGAGACAAAAGGTCCGCCGGAATTGACCCACCCATCTGATTATAACTCAGGTCTAGATTCCTGAGATACCTAGTAATTCCTTGTGGAATTACACCTGTGAATTCATTCTCATTCGCAGCAAACCTCTTTAGAGTTGTGATCATGGAAATGGACTGAGGAATTTCACCAGTCAGCTTATTGGCAGAGAGAACTAAGAGTTGCAGATTGGAGAGTTCACCAATACGAGAAGGAATGGTCCCGGTGAGATTATTGCCACCCAAATCAAGAAGAGTAAGATTCTTATAGTTGGTAATTCCGTCAGGAATATTACCTACAAAACAATTGAAGGAGAGCTGAAGCTCCTCAAGAAGAGTTGAATTGCCTAGCTTAGTAAGAATAGACCCTGTGAATTTGTTTCCGCTAAGGCTTAAACTTTTAAGCTCATTCAAACCATTCAATTGTGAATCAATAGAGGTCTCGAACGAATTACGAGAAAGGTCTAAAACCTCTAAAGAACGAAAACCCTGGAAACTGGGCAACGGCCCATTCAGATTGTTGTTGCTAAAGTTAAGGGCTTTCAAACCACCACAAGAAGAGAAGATTGGTTGTGGGATTGAGGTCAGCTGATTGCTGGAGAGATTAAGAGATTGCAATGTTTTGATATCGCAAACAAGAGAGGACCAAGAATCATCGTCGTTAGAGATTGAGAAAGAACAGAGAGAAAGCGAGGTGACGGAGGAATTGTTTGGAGCGCAGGAAACGCCCGTCCAAGAACATGGGTTTGTTGAGTCTTGCGAAGAATTCCATTTGGAATTACTGTTGTTCTGTAGCAGGTCCCGGAGTTTGTTCATGGTGGTCACCTGAGTCGATGGTAACTGACAGAAAGCATACTGAACAATGAAGAAGAAGACTGGGAGTATGTGTAGATACCTGCTCATGTTTGTGGGTGTGGGTGTTCAAAGTGTCATGAATCTTCTCAACATATATCAGCGTTTGTGCTTCGTGCGTAACGAAATAACCATATGAAGATGCTGAGTTTTTCTTATTTACATGAAAGAAAAGCAGAGAGGGTTGACCGGAAGACGACCGGAGTTGTGGAATATTTGTGAATGGCGTATGGAAAATGGCAGTGGAATGGACTAATGACTTTTCAAACCAGCCAAACCACTGTGCATGTTGCAGTCTAAAAAGTTTAGGAAGAAAGGGGCCCGTTGACCATTGACTACTATAAATGGACCCAACCGTATTAAATACGTTGTGGAAAATTTTGCCAAACCTTATTACCGTTTCATACCAACAGCTAGCGGGGTACGGTGGGATTGGGCTTTTGATCGTAAAAAGCAATGATGTAACTTTTTTCTCTTAAACTAGAAAGGTTACCCCGCTACGCGGGGTCAGAAGCTTTCAATGTTGTTTCCGAATTGATAAATATGACAGACATAGAAAGTGCAAAGGATGAAAAGTCCGGGCTTTGCCCCGGAAAAAAAAATGTAAAAGTTTTGACTGCAAGGACCAGAAGTGTGAAAATGACTAAAGAATTAAAGGGGTAGGAATTAGCAACTTTTTAGAAAAGGAATCAAAGTTGTCAAACTGTTAAAGTTTTGTGGCCAAACTTTAAATATTAAAAGGTTCCAAAAAAGTGTAAAAATATTGATTGCAAGGACCAAAAGTGTCAAAATGAGTAAAGAATAATGACCAAAGTTGCCAAAAAACATCCAAATTTAGTATTCCTAACTTCCAACAATAATACATGACCAATTCTGCCAAAAAAATGGGAAGTTGAATGGAACACAAACAAAAGGACATGAATAAATTAATTAAAGAAATACAGGGACCGGATATGTAAATCAAGGGACCAAACTTGGACAAAATATCCCAAGTTTACTATTCCTTTCTTCCACAACTTTAATATATATATAATAATATGCATAGAGTATATAATTGTTTTTAGATAGTTTTCTTTAGGATTATGCTATAAGCCTTATGTTTTTTATTAGTTGTAAGACACATGTATTACATGAGTTAATTAAAAAAAAAGTTAAATATAAAGTTCAAAATATTTGAGAACTTCGAATTTATAAAAAAAATAAGAAAAATAATAAATTATTATAATGGAAAAGGTTTTTTATCTTTTAAAGTTAAACAAATAATTTAAATAAATAAAAAAAATTAATGAACTTTAATTTTGAAAAATTTTGAAATTAAAAGGTAAGTTCATTAATGAAATTGATATCCATTTATTATTATATTTATTGCAATTATTACATGTGGAATTTAATAAAATAGAAAACTCATAAAATGAAATGTAGACAAATAATTAATTCAAAATAATCACAAAATGACATTTGACAAATTAAATGAGAGTGTGACAAGTGGCAAACAAACCTTCATTTATTAGAGAGGATTCACATATAGTGTCATATCAGAAAGATGCACAAGCAATTGCCTTTTTTATTAGAAATTGCCTTTTTTTTATTCTATATTACTATATTAAATTTATATAATTATAATAATATTTTAATATAATCTTATTTCATTAAAGACATAGCTGAAAATTATCCTTTTAACTAAAACGAGAGATCCAAAATTTTTATTTTGTTGTAAATTTGATCAAAAAATTTTGAAACCTTTTATAATAACATGTCACACCCCGAAACCGAAGGCGGAACCGTTCCGGGGCGGAGGACGTCATGCGTAGTATCACAACAGTTGTATCATAGCAAGCATAGTAAACACAACCAAACATTGAATACATACATGAAAAAGATTTGCATTGTCATAATACATAGTTTATACATATCAGTGTATAGCAAAAGTAAAAGACGTGAATCCAAAACGCTCCGTCTTCTCAAAAGTCGGCAAGAGTACCTGTCTATTGATGCCCTGAGAATACAAGCGGTTTTAAAATATCAGCATAAAGCTGGTGAGTTCATAAGCAGTTAATTCTGGTGAAAGAAATGTTTCCTTGATTCTTTGAAAAGTTGTTTCCCAAGAAAATCCCATATTTTCTTATGAAAGAGGTTTGATTTCCCATTAGTTATATGATAAACCACCTGTTTATGAAAGTTTGAGTTATCCCAAGAAAATCACATATTTTCTTATGAAAGATGTTTGGTTATCGATTCTGAAAGAGGAGTACAAGTATCTACCATACTTGTGTCGTTAGATGTAGTTTCCTTGAAAGACCCTGTTTATTCTCCGTAAGATGTATTAGTCTTATTACAAAAATAGAACTAATAAGTAGGTAGTGAACTAGATCCTAAGGGTATTATCAATACCCTCTAGTAATCAAATCGGTTATTACTTTGAGGTTAGTTCACTAGATTCATTATTACCAAAGTAAATCTCTGTTATCTAGGTTGCGAGTTTCATAACCATACATTAAACTGGATATGGCACGTACGGTGGCCAGTATCATTTTATGACTTTGTCACCCGTAGACCTGACGGTGTCACTGTAGCTAGCAGCAAGGTGCGGGATAGTCAGTCCCGTATAGATCTATACACAATAGTCACGCTCTCCCTCCAAGAGATTCTGGTTACAAGGGTAGTTCTACACTCACGAATCCGGTGGAGTGTTACCAAGGACGTGTCTCCAATCCTTAAACTAACAAATTTACAAGTAATAATACTGAAAACCCTGTTTATGGTTGGTATGAATCCTTTGTAAAATATCACAATTTATGACAAGATTCATAAGTCCCGTGCTTTAGTTTTGAAAACTGTTTCTACGAGTTGATTTCTAAATCGAATGGTAAAACGGTTTTCTGTGGTTGAAAGCATACTGAACATGTAATTATTTTAAACAAAATAATATATTTGAGCACAAGTTTCCTTGTACTTTTGCTTGTATTCCCCCCCTGAAAACATGAAAAACTCGGAAAAGTATAGGGGTATGAACTCACAGTTTATCGTAGGATCCGAAAGCACAATTGGTTACGAGTGTTAAGTGTCAACCGATGTTTCGAACACGAGTGGATCCTATTATCATATGATAACACATATGTGTGTTAGAATTAGGGTGTTTCATGGCTAAACATGACGGAAATCACCCTAAAGACTTGGAAATGCTTGTCGGGACCCTATATGATCAAATAAGGGAGGTGTACGGCTATTTGAGTGGGTGTGCGGTCAGGGTGTGCGGCCAGGTTGTGTGTGCGGTTGCACACAGGAGTGTGCGGCCGTACAGAGGGCGTGTACGGCCGTACACAGGAGTGTGCGGTCGTACACTCCTCATTTGTGTCCGAAATGTCGATTTTGAGGTGTTCTTGAGGTGTTCTTGTGCTAATACCAGGTTCTACTATTGAATGGAGGCTAAACTCTTCACTTTGGAGAGTTTTAGGGTGTGTGCGGCCACCTCATGAAGGTGTGCGGCCGTACAGCTTCAAAGGATGAAGAACACGAAGAACACTATGAGTTTTAGGCTTAGATTCAGGTGTCTTACCAATATAACAAGCTGAATGATGGAGTGCTTCACGTTTTTTAGGCCCTTAGAGTGTTCTTGGATGATGTTTCTAGAGAGAGAAAGTAGAGAGAGGGAGTAGGGTGCAGCCAAAAGAGGAAAAGAGTGAATGAAGGGGGGTCTCCTCCAATATATAGGGTCGGGTGTGAGGCTGGAGGGTGTGTGCGGTTGGGTGTGCGGCTGGCTGGCCGCACACGCGGGTGTGCGGCCGCACACACCTTCTTTGGTGTGTTTGGCCCGATTTTGTGATGCTACACACTTTCTAACCCTTCCTAAGACTCATATCCAAGTTATACTAAGCCTAAAACACTCATATAGACCCATAATTTCGTTATAAGATAGTAAAATGAAGGCTAACTTTGATAAAAATGAAAAAATGTACAAGTTAGAAATTTCGGGTTGTCACATAACAGATTTACCTTTTATTATTTTTCTTTTATTACATGCAGTTAAAAAACAATTAAAAATAAAACAAAAAATAAAACTCATCCTACTACTTGTTTTTCTCCCTCTTAAAATGCTTATGTTAAAAGACCACCACCCCCACGGAACCACCAGCCAACATCATCGCACCACCGGTCACCACCGCTGCCAACATAATCGATCACTACCATTTCATGAACTTAAACAAAAAATTTCAGATCTGCAACTCAAACTCAAGAAATATCATATTTGTAAACTTTCACCATCTATATCTCTTCCTGATTTATACACACATATATAAAGATGAACAAGATGAAGATCTGGGAACCAACTTCAACACAAACACACACACATGACAACCAATCTCAGTTTTTCATAAACATATGAAGATCAAATCTGGCACACAAAAACTCAGATTTTACAAGGTCAACATAAATTGACACATAAATACTGTAGAACACCTGAATAATCAGATTTCTAAAACAAGTATAACAATCAGATTTGTAAACCTACAAGAACACCTGATTACCTGATTTGTAAAACCATAGCCTTCTCATATACAAACTCCAGAAACTGACACTGTAACATCCTGTTATTTTCTACTTTGTAAAAATCAACAAAAGTCAAACATATCAAATTAAAGTCAAACTTATTGATTTGTTAATTTTATAATGTAAAATTAATATATTTGATACATTTAAACACTTAGTAAAGTGTTGTATAAATAAGAAGTGAAAATCCAAGAGGAACCGAGAATTCTTGCATCAGCCGAAAACCCTCGCATTCCCCTTCTTTCCTCGGACTCCAAACCAAAGGGTCGCAAACAACTTTCGGTCGCAAACGGCTTTCGGCCGCAAACCATTCAGACTGCAAACGTGCGAGACTTCTCCTAGAAGCTTTATCTCCTCGGTTTGAGTTCACAGTCGAAAATTGAAGCCTCGGTATGTGTTCTCGGCCGAGAACCCCTAAATCGACATGCTTTATACTTCCATATATATATATATATATATATATATATGCATGCAGCCGAAAATAAAGCTCATTTCTTCACACATCAGCCGAAAACTCAAGATTTTTCTCTCAACTTCAGCCGAAAACTCCCTCCTCTCTCCTCAAGAACATGCGAAACCTTTCCTCTCCTCTCAAGAACACACGAAAATCACTTGTTTCTTCATAGAATCTTGCAAGAATCATTCCTTGATCTTGTAATCAGTTCACAAACACCTTCCAATCATCTTAATTTGGGCCGAAAACTCATAAAATCATTAGTTTTCACGAAG